GGGGGGGGGGGTCCTTTAAAAAAAAATTAAAAATAAAAGCCAGAGCAAGTTGATGGGCTTGCCAGCTGATGAATCTTTAGATAGATATGATGAATCTTAATATATAGATATATATATTTTATGAGAGAGATCATACATCTTCATTTTATATATATGAAGATATCAGCTGGCAAGATATACATCTCCATAATTGTATATATGATTTCTCATGTTCACATGCATTTCCCATGTAGTTTTCTAAGGATGGCAGTTGTGTTGTTTGGCTGTTTTGTGCAATAAAACATCTGTATTGAAAGCTGGCTCTTGTGGCTTTGAGACTTCTCTCCACAGCAGCTGCATAGCTGAGCTGGCTTCCTCCCACACTATCACTTAATGGCTGTTCTTATGGTCCTGCCGAAATGGGTGCCAAACTGCACTTGGATCCTTCTGGGCTATCTTAGCTCTTCATTATCCGATTTAATTTTATAAGCTAGAAAACAGCTGATCATTTGCAGTTGTACTTGTAACAGGCTAGACAACCATAGGTTAGTTGTCTTGGGGTTTTTTGTGCTCATGGATACACGTGCAGGGGTGCACAGCATGGGGAGCAAACAATTTGTGGGAACCTGAGCAAGTTCCTGAGTCCCTGTTACCCCAGGAGGAGCCAGGGCCTATAGCCATCTGCATATACAATTTTTGCTGGTTTTCCCAACAAGGCCTGTTTGCTGAAGCCAATGCCTGGGGGCTGGATCCCCTCCTCTCCTGGCTGAAGCTGCTCTGGAAGAACGGAGCCGGGAGTTAAAAGGAGGCTATTTATTTTCATTGCTTCCCAGCTCTGCTGCTGCTGCTGCATTCGTGTCTCTAGCCTGCTGCAATGGTGCCAGCATTTAATCTGCTTTAGTGGGGGGTCTGAGCCCCTCACCCCTGTGCCTGCCTGTGCACCCACCCCAGAGCTGGCTGCCCGCCTTCCCTATTGCCCACACTCGAGCCGGCGGACTCCGCCGTTCCAGCCCGTCTCCAAGATGGCGCCAACGCAGCTCTTTGAAGACCGGCGTCATCCGGGAGCGCCGGAGGTGCGGCCTTTCTCCGGAAGTGGTGCGCACGTGGCTCATGGGCAGGCGAGAGGCGAGCAGGGCAGCATGGCGGCGGGCAGCGCGCCCGTGCGCTTCAAGACCAAGTGAGGAGCGGGGCCGGGGGGGGAGCCCAGCCCAGCCCAGCCCAGCCCACGGCACTCCCCGTGGAAGGGGCAGCGGCAGCGATTCAATTCCCCCACTGCCACCCCCCAGCTGTGCGAGTGGACAGGGGCCAGGCCACGTCCCAGGGATGGGGGAAAGCTGCTCCACGGCATTCACCTGGATTTCCCGGTGGGAAAGCCACAGCAATTTGAACGAGCTCCTCACTGTGGAGGTTGGCCGGGTTTCTCCAAACCCCTTTTGACAGCAGGTCATCTTTTGCATTTTATATGTGTATGTGGCACCTGCCACCACCTGGGTGAAGGGCTAATGACCAGATTACGTTGTCAGGCCTCTCACGGGTCGCAGGATCAGTGGCCGTGCTGGGAATCAGCATTTTCCAAGTTGCCCATTGTTTAATACAGCACGCACTGAGCCGGTGCCGGCTGTGACACTGCCTCCCAAGGGCATGTTTGTCATGTTGGCCACTGCCATTTGTAGCAAGGGAAAAGAAACGCTCTGGAGGATCTGCCACACCAAAGTTGGCCGTCTTGAAAGCAATACCAAACTGGGAGCAGCTGGAGTTGAGTAGTGTCCGAATTGCCTGGCTTCACAAGCTGGAAACGGAGATTTATCAAGGAAAAGAGGTTGTGGGACCTGACCGTTGCATTGAAGCATTTTACAAGGATTTCAGCTGCTCAGACCTGTCTCAGGCATTCTGTTAACTTTCTAGAAATACAAAACTCTGAAACTCTTGGTTTGGAGGTGATACCTTTTTATTAGACCAGCTAAAAAATAGCAATTACATTTCCAGACAAGGTTCTTTGGGTAAATCTGTTGTTAGACCAACTCAAATAGTTGGAAGATGTCGTCTTTGCAAGTTTTCGGGTGCAAACACCCTTCATCAGGTTGAGGAAACGGCTGCAGCTGGTGTGTCAGATGCTTCCTCAGCCTATTTATACCCAACAACTTGCAAAGAAGAATTTTTCCAACTAAGCTGTTGGGTATAAATGGGCTGAGGAACCATCTGACACGCCAACTGCAGCCGCTTCCTCAACCTGACAAAGGGTATTTGTACCCAAAAGCTTGAAAAGAAGAATTTTTCCAACTATTTGAGTTGGTCTAATAAAAGAGATGGGATTTACTCAAAGAACCTGGTCTGCCTGTGTCTTTGGACCAACTCAGCTACAACCTACACAACTGACAAAGGGTGTTTATACCCAAAAGCTTGTGAAGAAGAATTTTTCCAGCTGAGCTGGTCTAATGAAAGAAATTGGATTTACCTAAAGAACCTGGTCTGCCTGTGTCCTTAGACCAACACAGCTACAACCTATACTCCTGGAATATAAATTTCCACACACTTTTGTTTGGCCCTTTTCTTTCATTCCCCAACTTTTATTTCCATACAGTCATTACATCCAGTTCAGTCTAGCAAGGCACACAGATGTACTGTTTGTGTGCTTAAAGAATTATCCTGGTGTGTTGGTTTGCAAATGACATAAACAAAATGTTTTAACTGCTACTTTACTTGTATTTCTGTTTCTCCTTTCAGCTATGCTGTGTCAAGGAAAATTGAACCTTTCTACAAAGGAGGAAAAATTCAGGTATTGCCAAACCCCACCTTCCTTTGTTGAAATGATGGAGGCAGAGAGTAATGACAAGGTGTCACTGCTAAGGTTTTCTAAAAACAAAGTCAGTTATTTTTCTGGTTCCATAGACATTTGCGCCTTTTTCCCCCCCAGATAAGCAGAGATGGAAACTATATGTTTTGCCCTTGTGGAACCAAACTGAATGTAATGGATATAGCAACAGGAGCCCTGGTTCACAGCATCGAGCAGGTGAGAGATCCAAATTAAACTAAAGTTTATTCAATCAATGTTTTTTTTTCAAATGATTTTTGAGGGATGTCTTTATTTCTGTGCTGTTGTTCTAAAGCTGTGGGGGGGGCTAGCCTTTTCAGCAGGCGTGGCACAAATTAGCTCCACACTCACCGAGTGCCACTCTCATCCCTTTCCCTGACCTGGTCTGCTGCTCTGCTTTCTGCTTCCTGCCGTATCTGCTCCTCTGCTGCTCGTCTTTTCCCCAATATGCCATATGACTCACGCCCCGGCTGCCAGTGCCACAGGTTGGCCACCACCGTTCCAAAGACAGCGGCAGTGAAAATTTGGAAGAATAAAGAACAAGAAATGTGCCACCAGAAAAATACATTATTTGTCTACCATGTTCCTAGCAACAGTATGATTTGAAAACATTGCCATAGTATAAACCTTGCTGGAAGACTGCTAATTCAATTTTATATCATAGCATAGAGAGGATCTTTTTCATCAGTGGAAAGAAG